CATATAAAATATTTTTAAAATTCGGATAAATTCTATACATAATTTTAGATATACCACTGTATATATTAATATAGATCTATTTTTTGTTTCTAATTTCAATATATTTCTGGAATGAGAACTAAAGGAAATCATAAAACAGTATGTGAAACATGATATTTGTAAGTCAACAATTTATTGACAATTTCACAAAGTTTAAAATAGCACAAAGTTTAAAATTGGGACATAAAATGTCTTTAAGACGCCATAACATAAATCTTTAAGACGTTTTATGCTCCAGTTTTGGATATGTATTCAAATTTGTACTGCCTGGGATAGAGAAAATGATAAAACAATGAAAAATTGTATTTACTTAATTATTGTAATACGAGGTTGTTTCGATAAATCTGGTAAATCTTTATGAGATGGTGCCACAATCAATTTGATGATTTTGACACCTGGAAAGTATCACTCTTCAAAAGTGATCTTCCAGGTCAAATTTCAGCCAAAATTAACGCTTTATTCATGTACGGTAATCGGTTAAAACGAATGAGAAATTTAGTAGTTGCCGCTTACAAAAATAAAAAAAAAGATTTTCGTACAAAATTACAGAATTAGACTTCAATGATTTCTCTTTCTATTCTAAATCCGGAGAAGAGTGGATAAGAATTAATTCGATACCCAAAAGTAAAGAGATTTCACCTATTTTATTCATCTTAATATGTGTGATTATATTGGGTCATCTAAAAAGTATCCGCGGTTTTTTGTCACTAGATGTGTGTTGATGGTCATATATCTAGTGACAAAGTACCGCGGATACTTTTTAGATGACCCAATATATAATATTGGGTATGGGAATAAGTTTCCGCCCTTTTTAAATGAAAAAGATGTGTTTATTTAAACAAATCTATATAAGTGAGTTTATTCGAAGTATGTTCCTTCGGAAGCGACAACTTTCTCCCATCTTTCCGGTAATAAATGGATTCCTCGAATGAAAAAATCTGATTCTTTTGAAGCGATCCATTCATCAAGCCATTTTTTGATACCTTCATAAGAATTGAATCGTTCTCCAGAAAGGGCCGACTGCATGGATCGGAACAAATGGAAATCTGAAGGGGCAATGTCCGGTGAATACGGCGGGGGGGGGAGAATTTTCCACTTTTCTCCAAGTATTTCTTGATCGGTTTTGCAACGTGTGGCCTAGCGTTATCATGTATCAGCTTGTTGTGCCTATTGTCTCATTCCGGTCGTTTTTCTTCCAAAGCTTGGTTTAAACATATCAGTTGTAGCCGATAACGATCGCCAGTGATGGTTTCGGACGGTTTGAGCAGCTCATAATATATAATATCTCTTTGATCCCACTAGATGCACAACATAATCTTCGAAGCATGGATATTTCGTTTTGGAGTTGATGGATCTGGTTCACTTGGCATCACCATGCCTTCAAGCGTTTAGGGTGATCATAGTAGATCCATTTTTCATCGCCAGTTACGATACGATGAAGGCATCACCCATGCCTTCAAGCGTTTAGGGTTATCGTAGTAGATCCATTTTTCATTGCCAGTTACGATACGATGTAGAAAACCCTTCCTTTGTTGTCATTGACGAAGCATCTCGCAGATGACCAAACGTCTTTCCATGTCTCTCTCTTTCAATTTGTATGGCACCCAATTTCCTTCTTTTTGCACCATTCCCATTGCGGGTAGACGTTTTTCAACAGTGGATCTATCAACATTTAACTCTTTTGCCAACCTATCGAGCGACAAACACGAATCTTCTTCGAGTAATACTTGCAATTCTGCATCTTCAAATTTTTTCGGTGCACCTTCGCGTTCTTTGTCACGCACGTCAAAATCATCACTGTTGAATCGCCGAAACCATTCTTTACAACTAGTTTTCGATGGAGCATGCTCACCGTAAATATCTACGAGCAAACGATGCGTTTCCGCAATACTTTTCTTTAAAATAAAATAATGGAGTAAAACTTCCCGCAAATGTTGCTTTTTTGAAATAAATTCCGACATCTTCAACGCAAAAAAAATTACTCTTTGTTACGCTTCGAACGAATGCCATCTATTGAGCTCAAAAGTTTGGACATACACCTTTCAAAAACATGTCTTGCCGTTCTATCAAACACACGGGCAATGCTACTAACGACATCTTTCTGCAGTGGGCGGAAACTTATTCCCATACCCAATATTTACTCAGCTCTCAATCGTAGTTTATTGTGTTTCAATCGTCGTCACCACAGTTCTAATGCTGTACATTAGTAATTGATTACGGAATTAGTATCAGGATGATTAAAGAGAGGCACACACTTTGAGACTAATCTTTTCACTTTTAATACTTTTTATTAATTCTCAGTTACAATGCGTCCTTTTTCCACGATGGTCACAGTACGATTCCCCGAATTCATTAATGCTTCGTCCGAAAAACTCAAGGGGCCAATCAGGGATCAGCAAGATTCCCCGTGCCCTATAGACCAATTACACGCCAGAGAACTCATGGCGAGTCTCGCGTTACA